TTTTGTGAATCTTGTCAGAAAAAATACTTTGGTTTTTGCGTGGGAGCACCAGTTCAAACTGTTAGCCTTCCAACAGGACAAAACATCAGTCCTTCTACCAGACAGAGACCTCCAGAAGTTCCTGTACTCACTAGGATCACAGATATGATCAAACCAACAAGTCAAAAGCCAATACCTACCTTTCAGCATCTACCGAATGAGTGATCCTCTACTCTAACCTGAGGAGTATTGACCATTTTATGGCTCTAACTTAGTGTAGTGAAACTGTGCAGTAACTATGGTACACACTACCTCTGTGCACCAAGGGACTAACAGTGAAGACACAATTCCAATGTTATTACTAACAGTTTGTATTCTCGCTTTCTACTTTTTGCTTTTTAATATTTTTACTACCGTCTGGATCAAACACACCACAGGGCTATTGTAAGTTTTTTGCCTGGATGGGCTTGAGGCTTTCACAATTTAATGATCTCGTCAGGTGACATATCTTCACCACATCCCTCCTGCATAGTGTAAAGCATAGAGGAACCAAGCTTGGGCATACAGTTTCCTCTTGCAACCACATTTACTCACCCACCATTCCTTTGAACAACGATATTGAGCAATCAAATATAAATGTATGTTTTTTGGGGGAGTAAGGGTTGGGGGAATCTTTTAAAATCAGTGCTCTACAAAACTAGAGGGAAAAAGAGGGAACATTTTAAAACGTTAACATAATATAAATAAAAAATGAATTGTGTTCCATCAGAATTCAATGCCCTTTCTCTATGGATGATGAGGCTACATAACTATTTTAAGGAGAATATCACCTCAGAGGTAAAAGGTCCCATGATGTGATTGGCCAATAATAAGGTAATACATGGCCATTTGGTTCAAATTGCAACTCACAAAAAGAAGGTGCAACTGATTTTTGACTTCCAAAAAGCTTTACTTAAAAAGCCGGATCCATACACAAAATAAACCCTACCTCTGCCACTCTAGATTAACTCAGAACCATATGTTTACAGCTTAAGTGCTTTCTATTAGACTGTGTGGCCTTCAAACTCACCTGGTCTAATAGGTTATTTTACAAGAAGGCTAATAGGATGGACATCCTTTTAGCACAAACTCTCCAACTCAGACCTCGAGCCAAGCCTATCACAGCAATACACAACTCTGACACCCCTGAAAGACATTCATAAAACTTTCAGGAACTATTACCATACCCTTTACACACCCCTACATACCTCCAATCCATTTTATATTTGCTCTAGATGCTTTCTTTCACTCAAACTCTCTCTCTTGAATCCCCAACTCTGTTCCTGTTGTCCCATCTTCTTGAGGGTTTTCCAAAAAGAGCACACAATCTCTTTAATAGGATCAAGTTGGCTGTGAGGAGAGCATTAGCTGCTTTGTGGCTGAATGCAGCAGTCCTGTCAATGAGAGATGTCAAAACAAAAATTGTGAAAAAATTTTTAATGTATTGTTTAACTACACAAGTTTATAATACATTACATTTCTTTGAAAATACATGAACTCGGTGAATGGAAAACACTTCTTAACCCTTACACCTCAAATTGCAGACACAAAACTATCATCACCGTAGAGGACCTTTTCCCTCCTACCTCCCTCCTTTCAGGGGTTTTCCCCTCTTTCTCCACAATCTCTTCTAACTTTTTGAACTCCCTCTTAGCTCATATAATGCTGAATAATTCTCACCAAGGACTAAGTCTTTCTGTGTTTTTATAGATCTCATTAAGAGTTCACATATCCAGAACATATATGTGTTGGTGTCTACCCCTAGAGCAATTGCTTTACGGGAAGTATCTCTCTTTAGAAATGAAAATAATATTTATAGTGCCAGGAATACAAAGCTGTATTCTTGGCACTATCACTGTCCCTGCCTTACCCTCCCTCAGGCTTCCCCCGACCCCGGGTAAAAAGAAAAAGTTCAAAAAACTTTATTTACTAACCTTATCCCAGCGCCGATGTCTCACTGCACTGGGTCAATGCTCTGCCCTTTTAGACGTCCCGCGATGAGCGGGTGCTAATGCGCATTAAACCTACCAATAGGAAAGCATTGAATGAATGCTTTCCTATGGGGAAAAATCTGACGCTGGATGTCTTCATGCACAGCGTAAGAACGTCCAGCGACAAACACTGGAACAAAGGTCTGTTTTGATCTAGAAAGCACCCTCAGTGACTGACTGGGAGACAGCCACTGAGGGCAGACTTAGATCTGCGTTGTAAACATTAGAGTTTCTCTGGTAACTCACTAAGTAAAAAGGGACATTGCACCCTGACCACTTGAATTAACTGAAGTGGTCTGTGTACCTATAAATAGTGTCCCTTTAAGTATTTTATGAGTTATCCTTGCCTAATCATACTTAACTAACAGGTGATCCAACATAGACCATCTCATAAGAGAGCAACTAGCTGAGAACCCTTTACCTTCTTTAGTCGGGAATACATATAATGGTACTCCCGACTAAATAAGGTAAAGGGTTTAGTTGGGGTGGCTAGGGAGATGGGACCCCATTGTTCTGTTTCTTTCCCTTTTTTTTCCTTCTTTCCTCTCCTATATCCCCACCACGCCACAGTTATTTGTAAGTTTAATTTTCTCACCAAAAATTAGTCTGACATTTGATTGTTTCAATACATTTTGCACTGCACTCATGTACAATTGTATATTTGTTTATCTTTGTATTGGGATAGATGTATACTCTCAAGGCTGGTGTCATGAACCTTATGGATAAAGAATTAAAAAAGAACAATTTAGTAGCTATATGCATGAAACTGTACTGTACTGTAAGCCCCCTCTCCTTCTCACCAGCACAGACTTTACGTGGCTGTCCAATCACAGATTTCTCAATGGGCTGTATTGCAAATATTTCATGCTGCTCTATTCTCCAGCAAGACATGGACTGGTAAGCAGCCCAGTGATAGACATGTAGAGCTATAACATAATTTACATTTATCTTGTGTCCTCCTAATGTGCCCTAAATATCAGTGGCCATGGAGCTCTGAATTTCTAGTTGTATACTGCCCTGTGCGGCTCTCCCTGCCCAGCCTGCTCTGTATGCCTTGACAGCTTATTAAACAAGCTCATGGAACTGACTGGGCAGGAAGAGCAGCCAAAGAGATTGCACATCCGGTGCTGGAGGCTCCACAATCGCCATGTGTCAACGTGGATGGCAGGTTCTATGGGCAATTGCCTGCTTCATGCATTTAGCTCCACTGAGCTAAACAACCAGGAAGTATCAGACCATCAGACGTCTGTGGTGAAGATTTCTATTAAATCTGACACTTAAAAAAAAAATAATTAAAAATAAAAATAAAGACACACTATGCACAGAAAGGAGTAATGTGTTGAGAGTGTTTATTTATGGGGTACATTGGAGAGCCCCACTTGGTTTTGTATTTTCTTTCGCCCTATACTTCACAATTACTGGAAAAAACAAAAAACTAAAATTATTTTTTTTTAACAACTTTCATTCCAGCCGAATTGTGGGACCTGTGGATAGTAATCTCATTTTCCAGCATTTAAAATGTTTGTAACTCCTTTTCTAACTTCTTTGTAAAAATCCAGATTTCTATAAAGGATTTTCTGAGAGACTCCATGGAATCATAATATACACAGTAACTAGGCTAACATTCACTGCTAAACACAGAGCATTTTATTATCTAAACACCAGACTGTACTGAACTGCAAACCGATTTGCAAAATGTAAGCATCAAAAGACATCAATGGAAACATTATCCAACTCAGCTATTGTCACAAAGTAGCTATTTTAGTCTAAACATTGTAATTTGATTTTCAATTCACCATTTACTGTTTAATAAATAAATCCATGAATCTCAATATTTTCCCTTTCAACAAAGATACTCACAGAATGTCTCTATGCAGCCATATTTGATATAGCTTTCATTAGATGTCACTTACAGAAATCTGGTATCCTAACAACACAACCTTTAATAACTGCCCACCATTTAAAATACATACCTAAACCTAAATGTGTTTGTCATAAGAGCTATATGTCGCTGATAGATAAATTGTAGCATGACAGCAAAATTCATGCTGCAATGATGCTTTGTCAGCTCGCAAAGCTTCATGGGAAACAGTCATTGGCAGAAACAATGCCAAATTGTAGCCATTGCTGACCTTCAATAAAAAGTTGACTTTAAGTTTGTCTCCATATTTCAATACTCTTGTTTGTTTGTTTTTAAATCCATTTTAAAGCCAAAAAAAGTTATATTTCCAGGAAAGAGAACTCTTATTCATGCCCTTATAAAATTAGCATGTTCTCTCCATCACTTTAATTGATTCTGTTATTTTTTAATCCTTGCTCTGTAAAAACATTAATCGAATAGTTTATGCTACCTATCAGATTCCATAGGTAACAGGAATATTCTGTTTATCTGTGTGTATTAGTAGTTGCTTTGCCTCCTCTCCTTTCTTCATAAGTGCAAAAAGTGGGGGGAAAATAATGAATGCACTGCTTCATTTCAGGTATGTAAAAGGATCCCAGGTGAAATAAGTAGCTAATCAAATTGTGTAGTTATTTATTAAGCAATTATATTTTTTCACTAACTAAATGGAATAGGAAGAATATTTATTTTACATAGTTTCAACTACTAAAGAGAACTTGCAAACCTCAAATCTTTGCACTTAAACAAAATACCTACGTGGCAGCATTTTCATAATTTTTTTGATATTTTCTTCAGCATACCTAACTCTACATATTGATATTTCTGCATTTTTGCAAGGCCTTAGGATCATCCCACAAGAATGATAAATATTGAAATGCAAAGAGGACAAGCTGAAACAAAGGTCCAGCCTCCCAGCAGAATTAAACCAACGCTAGCCCTTGGCAACAAAGATTAAATTTAGACATTGTACATTATACACATATTCTTAATTCTTTCTGAAGCTTACAAACCCTTGTCACTGGACTGATAATTACCAAGCCCCTGGGGCTATAAGTGCATATTGATGGTAGGTTTGATTCCAGCTACTAGAATTTTGATGAGTCTTGTTAAAAAAAGCTTTGTCCAATGAGAGACAGAGTTTCTGCGTCTCACTGAGTCCACAGATGAGAGGTATATAAATGGATAGTGGATATGGATTGCTTTGCTCTGGAGAGTTAAGGCTTGGATACACAAAGTTCTCAGGCGGCGTCAAGATGGGGATTGAAAAGCAAGTCAAGGTCACCAGTGGGGCAGTGCGCTATGGCGCCTCATATGGAGGCAATAGACTCTTCTCAAGCAGCAGAAGTTCTGGCAGGTCTGGGTTTGGAGGAGGCGGCTTTGGAGGTGGTTTTGGAGGAGTAGGGCTCTCCAGAGCCGTTGGGTTTGGAGGAGGAGGCGGTGGAGGTTTTAGCCACAGAGGTGGATATGGTTTTAGTGCAGGTGGTGGTTTCAGAGGTGGAGCAGGCTATGGATTTGGCGGAGGTGCAGGGTTTGGAGGGGGGTATGGAGCTGGAGGCGGGTATGGAGCTGGTGGGGGGTTTGGAGGAGGTGCGGGAGCGGGTTATGGTTTAGGAGGAGGAATTGGAGCTGGAGGTGGAAGATTGGGGGGAGCACTAGGAGTTCTTAAAGCCCGTTTGGGAGGTAGAGGATTTAAGGTCGGTAGCTATGGCTTCGGCCCCTCACTCTTGTTTGGAGCAAGGCCAGGATTTGGTGGACCAGGCGGTCCTGGGGGCCTCCCCGACATCCCCTCCATTGACCCATCCCTGCCCTCTGTGGACACTGTCCAGGTGACCCGCCTAAAGGAGAAAGAGGAACTCCAGCACTTGAACAACAAGTTTGCATCCTTCATTGACAAGGTAAGGACCAGAACAATCTGGATCTAGAGAGGATACAGGGTTTAAAGAACCCCTCTCACCTTTTCACTTATAACATGTTTCTGCTGTATGTGTAAGAATAGCACATCTTCGAATACTTTTATGCAAGAAGGAAGTGATATTGCTTACATTGATATTGCACTACATCAAAGCAATCATTAATTCTTCCATTTGCAGTAGACTTATGCTTCTATACCTATCACTGGTCACAGAAGATTTTATTCTCAAGAGCTAATCACCTTTTAGAGATTCTACTGGTTCATAAAGTATAGGGTTACATGGTTCTTTAACATTGAAATGCCTGATTGTGGCTTAAAACTATATATTTTCAGTTGGTCATCATTTGGAGATTACTGCCACAGAATGAATCAATGTGTATCTCTTTATTTTTGAAAAGTATAACCTTCAAAACATTTTCTCCAAATAGCTACAGACTTACATATAAATTGAACATCCTCACTCTTCTTTTATGGCAAGTCTACAGTGTTTTGCCTTTTTAATGTAGTTGATACTGTCATGAGCCCACTGAATAAGAAAAGTATTTGTATGCATTCATACTGTGTTGAATTAATTAGTGAATGATATCAAGGGTTATTTTAGGACACTTGGTGATTCTTAAGAAGTTTCCTATACAGTGTCATCTGTCTATCTCATCTTCATAGCATGGAGAGGCTTTTAGGAGATTTTGACTGATTACATTGACATCAGTGGCACTTCTTTATGTATGTCTCTCACCAAATGTGGGGGATATTTATTTAATCACTAAATGTCTCTACAAGGTTATAGTATTAGTGCGTTGCTCATATCTCTTTGGAACACAAAATATTAAGAAATATAAGTCGCTGTAGCAATGCAGTATTTAGTGAACAATACATGCATTATTAAATATGTTTGTCTCCAATTTAAAGAAAAAAAAAACCACACCTCAGCTCAATTTAATTTCCCCATCATTGATTAGAATTGCATTTTATTAGAATAGCTGGTGGAATGCAATAGAAAATAATATATGCATTTCCTTTACGCCTGTGAGTTCTAGAAACATTAATTCTTTGAGTTGTTTTTTTTTATTTGCATTTTTTATTATTCATTATTTGTTGGGTTTCTATAGCACTTTTACCGATTCTCTGTGTTTTCTCCATTTACAGGTCCGCAGCTTGGAACAGCAAAATACCATACTTAAAGCCCAGATTTCTGTATACAATAGAAGTGACCCAAGTGGTCCAGCAAACACCTCTGTAGTGACAACCACTGCTGTTGCTGGCTACAAGGCACAGATTGATACTTTAACCCAAACCAAACAAGCACTGCTGGCAGAAATTGATCACTACAAGCACATTATTGAGGAAGTGCAAGTGAAGTAAGTAAAATACTGTCACTGATAAAAAAAAATTATAATTAATTAACAGGACTCAATGGGCACCAAAACAACTTTATCTTAATGAAGCAGTTTTTCTGTATAGATCATGCCTCTGCAGTCTCACTGTTCAATTCTCTGCCATTTAGAATTTCTTATCTCCTGCTCTGTTAATAGCCTTCTAGACCCTGCAGGAGCCTCCTGGCTGTGAATAAAGTACAATTTGCAGAGCAGAAGATAAAACATCTAAAGCAAGTTTACAGCTGATTTAAATCAAAACCATTTTTTTCATGCAGACTGTGTCAATCACAGCCAGGGGAGGTGTGGCTTAGGCTGCATAAACATAAACAGAATTGATATGCCTAATAAATGGCAGTGAACTAAGCAGTGAGACTTTAGGGGCATGATCTGGACACAAACACTGCTTCATTAAGCTAAAGTTGTTACTATATTTATAGTGTCACTTTAAATTAATTTAGAGTCTCATCTACTAGGTCTCTAAAAGGTATCTAAAATGATTGATTTCAAATTTGCATTTGAATATAATTTTCTGAGCTATCACAACTAAAGCTGACAGTGATTTATCAAGCAGTCATACTGAGTGAAAGACATGCGACATCCAACATACAAACATCTTCGAACACATCCTTTAAATAGAAGGGAAAAACACACACCAGTAAAAACAAACATGCGTAAATGAGAAATACCACCTTACACAAGGAATTATATCCAATTATTCTAAAAAAGTTTCAATTGGTTGATGTTTTTCAAACACTTAGAAACAAGGAATAAAAATAATTGATCAGAATGCTTACTATATAAATATTGGACTTAAAGGGTCAAAGAAAGTTATCAGTCCAAGTTTTGAAAATAAGGTGAATTAAAGCAGTATCTGTATATTTTTGGCTTTTTTAAAAAAAAATAAAAAAATATATATTATTAATGCTAACATGTCTTCCCATACAGTAACAATAGCTTGAACAATTACTTTTTTTCCCACTTTTAATTTTAAACTATAATAATGTAAAGCGAAAAAGTGTTGATGTCAAATGAGAAAATGCTTAATTTTCCAATTTAAAAAGATGTTGACAGTCAAACACAAATCATCAATCAATATGTAACAAGGTCACAGTTTGATATTCCAGTTATGACAAGATAAAGATGATAAATCTAGTTTCTTGATGCACCTTACTTTTTTAATTTCCCAGAGGTAATGCTAATCTAATGCACTGTGTATAACTCTCTCTCCAGATATGAGGAAGATACATCAGTAACAAAGACTTTGGAAGCAGAATGGACCACACTGAAAGAGGTTAGTTTAATGGATTACAACGCTGCAATACCTAACAAAGAAATACAATCCTTAGATGCAAGCAGAGATACCTAAAACAAATTATAAATGCTTATTTAAAAATAGTATTGATAATTTAAAATATATAATAATATACGTTAATTTGTCATTCAGCTACTCTCTTTAAACATATGCTGAACGCATTTGATTTTTATATATAATTCACACTGATTATTCTTCAACACAATTCCTTAAATCTGCTATTTACAACTGGATTATCCATGATGATCAACCAAACACATTTAGAAGCCACTTGAAAACACTAGCTACACACAGCTTACATTACATGCACTTAGAAGGTATTGCAAGGACCTACTTTGCCCCTATGGGCTCTACAGCACCATCTGGTGTTTGGAATCTACAAGAACTTATGCAATGTTACAAGAAAGTACAAACCAAATGGGAAAAGCAAGGCTTATGACTTGACTGGTGTGTGCAGATCTGTGTTTAACAATGTATTGACTATCTATTAAGAAAGAAATGAGACATTCAATGATCATACATAGTATAGCTCTACCCAAGACAGGCCTGATTTTCATTAGATATTTTTATATTAGTTCATTTATGTTCAGTTTTCATTTTATTTCACGTTTACAATTCTATTTCTTTCCCAATTTTAACAGGATGTGGATCACTTGTATTTGACTATCTTCGACTTGCAGACAAAACTTACCGGAGTTGAAGATCAAATAACCCTTTCCAAACAAATATATGATGCTGTAAGTAAAAACGATGATTACTAAAGACTGTATTTCGTTATTAGAACGCCAGATTTGTATGAGGCACAAGGTTCACATTATAGAGTGCAAAGAGTGGGAGACAGAAATGTTTTAAAATATTATTACCATTTAAACATATCTTGAAAAAAACAAGTTTTAAAGTTTTTTTTTTAAGTTTTAAAGAGTCCATACAGATGTTTAAACTGCAATTGGATAAGTACTTACACAAACATAACATACAGGGATAGCATTTCTAATTAGTGGGATAATAACTGCTTGATCCAAGGAAATATCTGACTGCTATTTTGGGGTCAAGAAGGAATTTTTTCCTAGTTTGTTGCAAAATTGGAAGCGCTTCAAACTAGGTTTTTTTTGCCTTCTTTTGGATCAACAGCAAAAACATATGTGAGGAAGGCTGAACTTGATGGACGCAAGTCTCTTTTCAGCTATGTAACTATGTAACTATATACATACATAATGGTATCCAGTCTTGATATTTTAGGTACTACAATTATGTAATTCTTAATTATCCCAAAAATACAGAATGTTTTGCAATTCTTACTATTGAAAATTGTGTGTTAACCTGTTTCTGTGTCAACCTGTTTCTTTTTGTTTTTGTGTATTTTCTATGCAGAAAGTCAGAGAAGTGCAGACTCTTGTTACAGGTGGAACAAAAGCAGCCATTTCCATCTTATTCGATAACTCTGCCCAGGCCGTAGACCTTACAACAGCCATTTCTGATATGAAACTACAATATGAATCTCTAGTTGCAAAGACCAAGCAGGATGCCTTTGCCGCAGCAGAAAGCAAGGTACGTGTATCAACTCTAAAAAGTCTCTGTCTCTGGCAAGATAACAGCAATATTCTTATTTTCATATTGGACTTGCAAACATGTGGGTTGAATTTATGGTCAAGCAATTCCTCTATTTATCTTTTCAGTAAAATGTCCATTACATTATTTTATTGTATCTTTGTGTACGTCAATTAATGTTAATCCTAACCAGTTTATTAATTTTGATTATATGAAAAGTCACTTGCTTCCTACCTCTTCCTAATGTTTTGGCTATTCTCTGTATATATGATGTTGATTCTTGCTTTTCACAATGTTTTTTTTTTTTTTCAAACTTGAAGTAGTTTTGGAAAAATTGTGTTTATTGTCGCAACACAAGAGCACGGGGCTTCATAATGATGAGGCATGAATACTTTGTTTTACATGTTCTGAGCAGAACTAGCATTTAAAAAATAAACAAATAAAAAGAAATGGAAAAGAGATGTAAACTTTATAAATGTGACATAACTGAAATATAAATATATTAGTTTTGTTTCAAATTAGTTCAGTGGGCTAATGCATCATCAATAGAATCTGCTCTAACTCTTGAGGGTCACAGGTTCAAATCCTGGCAGGGTTGACTCAGCTCTTCATCCTTTAGAGGTGGATAAAATGAGTACCATTAAATTGAGTAATAGTGACATCCCAAGCATGTACTTGAAAACCAGAGTAATCTGAATGCACCTTTCCTTGTTAAATACTTTGTTATTATTTGTGCAGATCATTTTGGCATCTGGATCTTTACAACAACCAACCGTATATGCCCTGACATCTTACAAAGAAGAGCACAGGATGCTGAAACAGCAGGTGGAATCCATACAACGTGAAATAGAGCGTGTTAAGACAGTGGTAAGAGTTTTTGGTATATGATAGAGGAGTTAAAAAACATCCAATGTATCTCTATCTACTGGATTACATTGTCTCATTCTAGCCTATCTTAAAAATAAGAATTTATCAACTATGGTTTATTATTTTAAGATAAATAATGGACAGATGTAGGATAGCTAAAGCCCATAACGGCTGAAAATTGAGTCTTTGTGCTCTTGATTATTTTTCTTAAAATATACCATGGTCACGCACTTATTTTTTACCGCAACACCCAGAATGTAATAATCTCTGTGTTTTTTTTTACAGAACATCCAGATAGAATCTCAGATATCAGAGGCAGAAACCAGCACATCTGGTGAGACAGACACATATCAAGAACAAGCTTCAGCCCTCAAGTCCCAGTTAGATGACATCAGAAAGGTGAGATATTCGGTTGCACGCATCCACTGGTTTCCATTCCATTGGTATTTAGAAAAATAGGACTTTATATGACTTGGTTTTGCCCAACAAGCATACAACAAAATTATGGTCAACCGTTAAATCTCAAAAGCACTTGAAAATTCAAGGGATCTCTAATTTGTATGTTTTGGGTTTTTGTTAATGTACTTCTAATTAACTTTTCAAAATCAATTCACCTTTATCTTGAATTCTCACCTCTTAGCAAATTGCTCACTATGGCCAAGAATATCAAGATCTCTTGGCAGTGAAGATGGGATTAGATGTTGAAATTACTGCCTACAAGAAACTCATGGACAGTGAAGAGCTAAGGTAAATATTGCTTATTTTATGAGATGAATGGTGGCTCACATAATTCCACAGTATCTCTTGTGTAAAGAGAGTAGAGCTTCACAATAGTGACACAATCTATCTTTTACTTAAAGTTTCAACGTGCAATTCCTGTAATGAATCATTATTTTCATCCTGTAATTATTACACTCTTATTGAAATATATTTTATGGGGGGAGGTTTTTAGTTACTTTTTGCAGTTTACTTAATTTGCTAAAGAATATAGTAATTTATCCTACCCTTGAGGAACAAAGCAATCCCAATGTTCTTTCTTGTAGGAAGCATCTAGCACAACATATTCGATTGCATTTTCTATACAGCCCCACATTTCTGGTTTTTATTGTCAATGTGAATGTAAATTTCAAGCTGCCATGCCATGAACAGCTATTTCCATAGACTGAGGTGATTGATAGCATAGCATATTATAAATTAAATAGATCTGATAGAAAGAACGGAAACATAAAAGTAGGAACAGCACCGATTAATTGGTTCTGAAACTATCATATTGAACAGATATCTAAGGAAGCATTCTGCATAGTTAGACTTATATTGAATACAGAACAAAATAACCATGCAAATATATCAATTTTCTATAGAGAAATAAATGACCATACCTGTGATTCAAGCAATTGGATTTATTGAAATTTGTCAACATTTTGTATTTGGTCAATGGTCACAGCTTGGCTGTGATTCAAGCAATTGGATTTATTGAAATTTGTCAACATTTTGTATTTGGTCCATGGTCACAGCTTGGCTGTTTTAACAAACATTTTTCAATCCACTTTTCTGTCTAATATAAATTGGTGTATATGAATTTAATCTTAATGTATTTTAATAGATTTCTATCGTATTTTTATCATTGTTCTGAGACAAGAAATTGGAACACTAGGCTATTGAAATACAATGCAAAAATACATGTGTGTGTTTATATATATATATATATATATATATATATATATATATATATATATATATATATATATATATATATATATATATATATATATATATATTTATATATATATAAAACAGAAAAAATTCATATCTTGTAATACCTTTTTTATTGGACTAACAGAATTTCTTAATGACAAGCTTTCGGGAGAATCTCCCTTTCTCAAGTCTGAAGCAAGACGACACATAGAATTCAAAGTTGAATTGTGATACAGAGGTTAAAGCGACATGAGTGTAGATAAGACACAGGTTTCATAAATAACTTTCTGAAGAGTGAGGGGGGAGAGAGGGACACTTTAACAAGCAGACAGTGCAAAGGATGGTACACTTTATACATGCACACACACAAATATGTATATGTGAACACATAAACACATGTACATAAACATATACATAAACACATATACATACATGCACATGAACTCATATACACAAATATAAATGCACAGTAATATATATAAGCATATAGTAATATATGGGAAAGCATAGGTCTACGCATAGCACTTTGTATATTGATAGAATAAACATATAGGAATGTATTTTGAAGTGTTGATACATATGACAGAACAGTAAGATAATGCTGAGAGAATGTTCATGTAAAGTGTTGGTAGTGGGACAGGAAACCCAAATCAATAGTTAGTCATCTATTCTTGCTGTTAAACCATTTAATCATTCTGGCTTCAAAAGTTTTATATATATATATATATATATATATATATATATATATATATATATATATATATATATATATATATATTTTTACTGTTCTATGTGGAGTCATAGAGGGGATCACTATTGATAGTTGGCTATACAAAGAGCTGAGAGTAGACTCAGTAATGAGCTATCACTGTTGCAACTATGTAAAAATGTGATTGTGCATAGACTGACCCTTTAATAATATAGGTCACTTATTGGTAGGTAGATTAATTTCTGAATGAGTGCAGCACAATTGCCATTGTGTCTATTTCTGTATTTGTTTTACTTTGAAAGCTATATTGCTTTGTAGTCGTGTATTACTCAAGGTGGCAATAAAGCCTTGCTATATGTTTAGCTTTTAATTCACCAGTTACAGCAGGATGAGCCATGTTATAGAGCTATACTACACCTAAAGAACAGCACAAGGGATGGAGAAAGATTAATATCACACGGGGCCCTTTCATTCTTCACAAAGGCATGTGAGGACAAGCAAATTCATGCTTTCAGGGTCCCTATCCAACCCATGGGCCCTAGGTGGCTCCCTAAGGTCGACCTATGATTAATCCTACTCTCAATTCAGTATTTATTGGAAAAACTAAATTTCCATTTGTGGCCTTTTTGAAATTTGATATCTGTGACATGGTTATGACATTAAAAGTACAAATATGTTACAATATATATTAACAAATTAGAATCTGCGATTGAGTTTACTGCCGGTAGTTTGTTTTTTCCTTAACATCGTGTTTTGTTTCAGACAAGATCTTTGCTTTAATGTGTTCCTTCTTTGTGTATTTGTCAATGTGTGTCTAAAAATAGCTGTGCTGTATTCCAGTAAAATATTACTGCTGATGATATATAGAAACTCACACCACAGAAGCCAATGCATTGTGTTCTATGCAGCTCCTGTTTGCTGACTTGTATTTTTTTTTTGTCAACGCGGTAGAACAAATACACTATTCCCTAATCATTCCAGTTAGAAGGGGGGGGGGGGGGGGAGAGATAGATGAAACAAGGATAGTGAATGGCATTGCATAACATAGAAGTGTGCCAATCCCAAAATATATGTACAAAACATTATCCTGTTCATTAAGACGCACACACATACACATGCACAGACACACATTTATACACATATATAGAATATGTGGGACAACCTTATCTCAAGGGTCACATTTATATTCATTTTAAATGGATTGCTTGTTTCAATTAATATATCAAATTTAATATATGCAGCATGACCTACATGTAGGTTATTTTGAACCATGTATGTCATGGTATTTGTACTAGCATTCCTTTTTTTATTTAAAAAGTACATGTATCTCTTCATATCAGTGATTAACTTACCCCAACTCACAAAAGCAGTGTTTTGCTGACTTAAAGAGTTACTGTATCCCTTTTTAAAAACATCTCTTTTTTTAAATATTCAATGTACATTCCAATATTGCATAGCATTTCAAGCTAGCACCCGCCAAGACCCTAGAATAGTGACAAAAGACTTTAACATTTACTTGCAATCCAGGACCTGGCAGATTCCCGTGCTGAACTCCACTCCCACGTCCTACATCACCAAGGGCCTTGCAAGGTCCAAATCAAGGCTTCTCATGGACTGTTTTGCCAGTTTTGGGGACAAAAGGAGGTGGGAGGAAAAGAGGGAGTGATTTTGAAAAAAATAAATAAAACAGCTATCTGAGCTATGGTGGGAGGCCGGAGGAAGCATATAAAGCGAGGGGAGAGCAAGCATGCCCCAGCAGACTGAATCCAATATGGACTCCTACCACCGTGACCATTTCAAATCACTCAAGTGGTCACGGTGGTTGGAGTAAACCTTTAGCACTTCAAGAGGCTTTTTATTAACTCTTGTTAGAAGCAAATTGCAGTTTAGGTTACTGTTAGGTATGATTGATATTTTACCTTGGTGATAATTAGTTTTGCTCTTTATTGCCTTAATTCATCCCTATCATCCTGCAGTGTTTTCCTTTTAGTTTTTGTTTAAATAAATAAATAAATAAATCTACTGTTCATGAAGTCATTATTTAGATTTCCTGAGAGTTGCAGGTCAGCTCTTTCTAAAGCATATAGCTAACAAGTAAACTGCAATTTTCAGAAACCCTTACTGTACCAACGAAACAATCACTTATGGCTGAAGATTATAAAATCTACAATAAATATAATTCACTTACTTAAGTGAGAACGTTTCTTTGGATATTTTAAGGCATTTACAGAGCATTGCTCTACACACTTGGTACTGAATGACTAATGGAGTGGTTTGGCTCTGGTTTGCCCTTTTATTACTGGAATTGTTTAAGAACATTGGATTTTAAAATATTAGCTGGCACAATATGTCTTACATAAATCAATGAATTTTCATCTTAGTTCCTCAGAAAATTGTTATAGCTGAGAGAAAGCTGTATAGAGTGTTTGTGCATCTGTGTATGTGGTTATATAAAAAAAATAGTGCTCTTAAAAGCTACCTTAAGTATTTCAATTGAGGCAGTCTAAAAATTCAAAAAATTAACTCTGTGCCAACCCTTTCTCTTTTCCAGACTCAACAGTGGAAGTAGCATCACTGTGCACATGTCTAAATCATCTCTAGGAGGAGGTGGAGGTGGAGGTGGTGCTGGAGGCGCTGGATATGGCTTGGGAGGTGGCCTCGGTGGTGGCTTTGGCGGAGGTTATGGTGGTGGCTTGGGTGGTGGCCTAGGAGGAGGTCTATCAACAAGCTTTGCAAGTGGCCTAGGAGGAGGCCTAGGAGGAGGCCTTGGTGGAGGCCTAGGAGGAGGCCTTGGAGGTGGTTTTTCTCTATCTAGTGGTCTTGGCGGAGGCAGTGGCATTGGATTTGGAGGAGGCGGCTATGGTGGAGGACTATATGGAAGCCTGAATTCAAGCTCAAGTAAGTTTGAGACTTTATATAGCAATGTATAATATTATGTACATTTCAATGTTAAAATAGAAAGAATTTGAGAAGCATGGGCTCAGCTCACATTCCAGCACTGTAGTAGTAGTATAGCAGACAGGGATAGAAATAGTACATGAGCATATTAGCAGCTTACAACATGTCTTGAAGAAGGATGGCTGGTTTAAGCCAATCCTATTATATTGACAAGCTGAAACAAGTTTTAAATGCTGCCTTCATTTTGTGAAACTACATTCTAGGGAAAGCAAGCAGAACCTCTACAAATACTTATAAGCAGGTAATTTGGACAGTTATATTAATATTGCAGAGGAGTCACAAAATTGATATTTGCCTTCCAATGCTAATTTCTCATTGGCATTTTAATTATTGTTGTCAGAACTGAAAGACCATAGATACTGTGTAATCGCTAACACTTTATAACCCAATATTTCTTCAAAGGACCAATATATGGACATAAGCAGTATGATTTGATTCTTAAATTTAATCTGAAATTGTTAATTCATTAAATCAGGAATTGTGGATAACACAACTGAGGTGAAAAATTATGATTTCTTTTTTTTTGTTTTTACATTTCTTTTGGCTTAAATGTGTAGTTAAAATAGTGTTTCCACAATTCCTGATATAGCAAATAAACTAAAGTAAAGTGCTGCTATGATACAACCAAAAAATAAATCCATAGAAGAAATATTAAAAAAATTACATTTTCTTTTCATGCCTTTTACCAGAATGAAAATGAGACAGACAGACAGACTAGTGGCGGTTTGTTTTGTTTACGCCCATTGTATGAATATGAGATAAATGACAACATGGATTAAATATCTTCTATATGGCTGTTAATATGTATATACTTTTTTCTAGTATCCACCTCTACCACCTATTGAAGAGGGCTAATGGCTAAACATCTACGATGAATGTTTGAGAACTTGCATTACTGCGTGAAGATTTCAACACAACCAGATTTCGTAAACGCAATGTTTTATGTCTGCACTTAGCTTCCAAGAAGACAATCAATGCTTAACAATTCTTTACTTGATATTTTCTTATAACAAGGGAACCTTTGTTATATATTTTTTAATCTGCTAAGTAATCTTGCGGTTAAGAGGTGCTTTTTTTCCCCCTGTTTGTTTCTAAATACTGACCACCTACTTTCAACAGAATGAAAGATAAATTATACATGTAACCAAGAGCCTGCCACATAAATCTCTAATTACTAAACTGCAGGAAGTTTGGCTTTTAAGGGATTTCTCACTGAGTTATGGACTGCTGAACAGAAAAAGGACAGGACTGTATTTGTCAGGCTGAAAATGTACAATAATAGAAACGCAGTATAAATGATTACTGTGATTGACGGACTGCCAACTTTCGAAAAGCTGCAATTTCATGCTAAACATACCATGTACTATTCCTATTAAAGGAGTTTATTACAATCTCCTACAGAGTCCTTGTTGTAAAACATTTAGCAGATTCCTGAGCAGAATAAGGGCTTTTTTTTAAATTGTAAAGAAATCTGAAAAAAATAAATAAAAAGCATTTCTTAAATTTCTCGTTTTGTCTTTTTTTCTAAGTGGTTAAATTGGATTTTACACATCATTTTTTTCCCTTTTGAATAAAAAACAAATGTATCATTTGGGGAATTAGGCCTTTAGGTAGGGATGGTTTGAATGCTTTCCTAGGAGTAAATAATTTGATGCACAGTCTGCTCTTAAAGTGTCTAAAAGGGACATTTCACTGACCCCCAAAAAATGAATATTGCTGTTTAGTACGTATATCACCGATGAAAACATGCATGCATTTAATTATGTATGTTTTCATTGGGGGTATATATAAAAGCAGCTGGCAAAAGCTGAAGATATCTTGTTTAAAGAATTTGCAAGCCTTCCCTTTTTAACCCAGCCCAGTTTTCTGTGGCTGTCATCACATACTTCCCAATGTAGCTCAATGAGAAGTCTGTGGAAGGACGGTGTTCTGGGCAATTGTCTGCATCTTGGGTTTATCTCCACTGAGCTAAACAAATGAAGAAATAACACAACTGAGTGTCTATTTTACAGCCAGGGGGTATAATAGTTAATTTAAAAAAGGTTTCTATTGATAGCTGCACTTTTTGTAAAATGGAAAAAAAAAAGAGGACACACTTTCCATCATCATTCTTTTGTGCAATGCCTTTTTCCTTCACTGGATCTTCTTTTGACCTTTGAGTTATATTATTAAACATCTCAGTGTTCAATGGCCATAGTGAAGTAAATTCAACTTTTCACCAATATACCAACTGCCATGTCGGGGCACGTTTGAGCAAAATGGCCCATTAATGTTATGTACAAAACCACACAATTCACCTCTGCAAATTTAAAACCCAATCATGTACAACAAACAATATGTATATTGAACAAACTCCGAAACTCAACAAACAACCCTACATTCAAATACCAAAATATAGATCCAGTCATAATGACACTCATGTCACACTGGAGGTAACTTTTGTATTTTTCTCTCAATTTTTCAAGTGCATTTCTTCCTGGGGCGAAAACTACATAAAACATATAGGTTAGGTTAACATGAAACTTCTGGTGGCCTTCTGTTCCCTTTACCAGGTCACTAGTGTTTCCACCAATTAGCCAGTTCCCACGTGTGTTTAAGAGGAATAAAAACAAATGAAAAGACAATAGAATACACTATAATGGAAAAAGAACAAGAAACAAAGTTAGTTCTTGAACTTTTGATGTAGCTGTATTTTTATTCTAAAACTAACATCTTTGCATGTAGCATTAATAGTGTCACTAATTACCCCAACATTTATAAGACAGCCATTACAATTATCCAGTTAGGAATACTAAATGCTGTCAAAAGTCTTTCCCTCTGTACTAGAGGAAGACCTAATTTCTGCTTCTATATCTTTGGTATACCTTTATTTATTCTGGTATATGAAAGGCAATTTGTTAAGAATGAGAATCATAATACCTTGGAATTTACACCCATGCACACACACTTCAAACAGTTCTATACACAAACCAACACTACAAACTGCTTGCCCCCACTCCCTACCAACCACATGCACACAACACAACACCATATCTTTGCTTTGTCTCACATGATGGGAAAATATTCTTTGTGTAGGCATCTTATCTGATGTGTTCAGGGACTGAGAAGGACCATCAAGACTTTAATTAAACCATTTGTTTGACTTCTTACCTGTAATCTACTGAGTAATACTCCCTACCTCCTCATAGCTGGAAGCCAGAAGCTCTCGTTAGGGTCTGTTCAATGGCTGAAAGTGTCAGAACATCAGAAGATGCCAAACTTTGGCTCTGCAAATAATCATAAGAGGAAGCACCTGTAGTGACTATCTCCGAAACAGCCTCTAATGGTGTCTCTAGTGGAGGACAATGTGCAGTGCTTACAGTACAGAGAATTAACACTTAAAGGACCACTATAGTGCCAGGAAAACAAACTCTTTTTCCTGGTACTATAGTGCCCTCAGGGTCCCACTCCTGCCGGGCTGAAGGGGGAGGAAGGGGGTTAAACACTTACCTTTCTCCAGCGCCGGGTTCCCTCCGCGCTGGGGAATCTCCTCCCTCTTCTGATGTCATCGGCTGAATGAGCATGCGTGGAAAGAGCAGCGCGCACATTCAGCCAGTACATAGGAAAGCATTCTCAATGCTTTCCTATGGATGCTGGCATCTTCTCACTGTGAAAATCAGTATCTCACTTTGACACCAGGCTCCAGCAGCGACTACAGGATGTGATGCACAGTATGGAGTATCCTATACCAGAGGAAAGAGAGACACAGTGGAGGGTGGCGCTTCGTAACGATCTCTGGAAGGAGGACATCGATGAAATTCGACCCACTAACCAGCGCCAAGCAGAACAACTAGAGCTGCGTATGCCGTTATTGGATCTATCTTTTCTTGTCAACTGGGAGTGGGAACTAGAACAGGATTATGTTTGCCAATTCCAACGTATAACGCCGCCTGTCTCTAACATGATGGGGCCTATTGACTGCGTGGCGAAACCGACCTCACCACTGGGCATTGGAGAAGACTGATTGCTAGCCTCCTGCCATGTGACTATGGCCCCTGGGATGTATTGCCCTTTAAAGACATGATTTGGGAATAATGGATTTGTGTTGTGCTGCTGCTGGCCCTTGAAGAACCATCTGGGGACAAACTGAGTTACTGGGTGGCCACCATTTCATGTATCAGAGGCACATGGTGAGAACAATGGATGAAGCACATGGTGAGAACAATGGATGGCGGCCGTTTTAACTCACAGACACTGTTTGGATTTTTCTACCCTGTGCCATCTTGCCAGTATTTGGTGCACAAAGACATCGTGCAGTAGTTTTAAACTATACAACAGGGGACACATTATACAGTAATTATTTTTCATATAGCCTGTATATGTTCTGCGGAATCTGGATTAAACTGTATCTTCCAAACTTCTGAACGGATCTGGGTGAATTTTGGATATGTGGTTCACCCAGAACCCCCGGTTCCGAGGATATATTTTTATGGGGTTATTGCATGTTTTGGGGTCCCTGTGATATGTTTTATAATACTGTATTTCTCTGCCTGTGATAATTATATTAACCATTGTGTTCAGTAATCATATCACAGGCAGAGGGGAGGACTTTGTGTGGGAGTGTCTGTGTGTATTGTACGGATTGATTGGTTGTATTTCAAAACCCTGTGGGCAGTACTATGTTTGTGGATTGTGAATAAAAGAGGCTGTATGTGCCAGTACAGGCAGTTCTGCTTGACCTCAAAACGAAGTGCCGTTTCGTTATTGGGGGAATTGGATTGTATGCTGATTGCCAAGAGTGTAAGCTGATTGTATGCTTTTCCTGTTCAGCTGCTAAAAGCATTCATATGCTTGAGAGCATTTGTATGCTTCTCTGGTTCGGTGCTTGTGGTGTCTGCTGCAGTGCTTGGAGTCCTCAGGAAGCGCCTTCAACGGAGGTACCCAGTCGGGATGCCAGGTGATCCGTTACAGACTGTATACCACCGGAAGCATTGAGTTTAGTTCCTCCTCCCCAGCAACCAAGCCTGTTATCAGGGGACCTTGGTACTGTACCACATACATCCCAACCAGCCCCAGAGATGGAAGACCTTATTGACTTGTCCTGGGAAGACATCCAGCTGGCAGATGGATATGGGACCGAGGTCTCTCTACCGGCCCTACAGGGATGCTGGGCAGTCAGCCCAGATGCCCAGCGGCAGTATGTTTCCCAGGGAGCTGAAGGTGCCGTCCTTCCTGCCGAGCGGCAGTGTGTGTCCTTAGGAGAGGAGACAATTGGTCCCTCTCCCAAGCAGTCTAGTGAGTTACAGGGAGACGAAGGTGCCGTCCTTCCCCCAGAGCAGCAGTATGTTTCCCAGGGAGCTGAAGGTGCCATCCTTCCTCCCCAGCGGCAGTGTGTGTCCTTAGGAGAGGAGACAGTTGGTCCCTCTCCCCAGCAGTCCAGTGAGTTACAGGGAGACGAAGGTGCAGTCCTTCCTCCCCAGCGGCAGTGTGTGTTACAGGGAGCTGAAGTTGTCATCCATCCTCCCCAGCAGCAGTTTGTGTCTTTAGGAGAGGAGACAGTTGGTCCCTCTCCCCAGCAGTCCAGTGAGTCCCAGGGAGCTGAAGGTACCATCCTTCCTCCCCAGCGGCAGTGTGTGTCCTTAGGAGAGGAGACAGTTGGTCCCTCTCCCCAGCAGTCCAGTGAATTACAGGGAGATAAAGGTGCCATCCTTCCTCCCCAGTGGCAGTGTGAGTTCTTGGGAGAGGAGACAGTCCAGCAGGGAGCAGAGACAGTCATTCTCGCTCCCCAGCAGCAGGACAATATATTGAAAGGGGAGACAGTCGGCCCCCCTCTCCAACAGCAGATAGCATGTCAGTGAGAAGAGCTTGTTATTCCCTCTCCCCAGCGGCTGAAAGTATGTATGGGAGAGGAGCTTGTTACTCCCTCTCCCCAGCGGCAGCTTAGCCCACCAAGGGGAGACAGTAAGCTCCACAACAGTGCAGATGGGACCGTGGTCTCTGCACATGCACCACCAGGGGTAGGGACAGTCGGTCCTGTCCATCAGCAGCAGGGCTGTTTAGCCAAGGTAGCCTATCAGTAGCCCACACAGCCATGGTGAGGCACCTGGACGAGCTAATCTTTTACCCAGGTGTAGTAACCATGTATTGTGGATGGGCTGTATTACTGTTTGTGCTTTGTGGGTGGGTTGCTGGACTAACCAGGGCACTAACCGGCAGGAGGTCAGATACCCTATTAGTCTGTTTGGAAAAGGGGAGAAATGTGGCGCAACCAGCCTCACCACTGGGCATTGGAGAAGACTGATTGCCAGCCTCCTGCCATGTGACTATGACCCCTGGGATGTATTGCCTGCTCTCTTGTACTGCTTAGGATTGCTACCAACTAGGTGGATTTGGCTATGGAGCTTGTGTAGTGCCCTCTGTTGGTAGCAACAGTAATATGCACTACCTGAATAGCAAGACTAGTAATTTGCATTTTCGGGTAGATTTGCATATCGCTAATTTTGCATGCAGGAGAGACATTTTGTGTTA